GCTGTGTGGGAGTCTGAACTTCGCTGTGCTGGTTTACCCACTGGGTTGGGTATGGCTTCGGCACCTGTTCTGGTTCCTTCAAGGCCATCCCTCTCGCCTAGCTCGCGACTATCACGAGATCTTTGCGTTGGTTGCTGGGTCGCCAGGTTCCTCTTCGGGTTTTTCGGGATTTGGTGCCTCCCTGTGCTCTCACTCGATGTAATCACAGATGCCTCATCTCTCAGCTAGGGCTTTGTGACCAGTGCTCACCAGGCCGGCCAGGGATAGTGGGGTCTGTTCTTTCATCGTGCTCACAAAATGGTGCGCGAGTTTGCGGTGGTTTGGCTTTTGTTGCGGAGGGTTCGGGTCACTTGGGTTTTTACAATCCAACTTCATTCGGACTGCGCCTCGGTGGTTCATTGTCTTAACCGCGGGGGCTCTCTTCAGTCCTTCGCTCTTTGGGGCTGGTTGCTTTGAGTGACTCATCTGCTGGTTTCTCGGGGTTTAGCTCTCCGTGCGTTCCATATCCGGGGAGTGTCCAACATCTTGGCGGACGGCCTGTCCCAGTTCTTTTCCCTGTCCATGGAATACACCGACTCCTTCAGTTAGCTCTGCTGGACGTGCTGAACCTAGAGATGGACTTTTCGAGTTGGTATGTTCCCAATATCTCCCGATATATGTGGCGCCTTTTCCCTATTACGAAGCTGTCTCCGTGGACACTCTTTGAACTGGTCGATGTGGTCGACCTGTACCTCTTTCCCCTGGTCCAGCTGTTGTTTCAGGTTCTGGCTCGGTTGGAGTCTGATCATGAGAGAGTCGTCCTTGTAGCTTCATGGTTTCAGGTCCAGCTTTGGTTTCAGGCCCAGCCTTGGTTTCAGGCCCAGCCTTGGTTTCAGGCCCAGCCTTGGTTTCAGGCGCTGCTTGCTCGGTGTCCGAATCCAGGGTATTTTCTGTGGCTCTGCCTCTTCCAGCCAGTCGGGTATGTGGCTGGTTCATTCTACACCTCTGTGCTTCGTGTCTGGTGTTTTTGATGTGGGTGTATCACCACTTGTATGGTGATCAGGTGGCCTCATCGATGGTGTCCCACCTGGGGTCCTCATATCGGTGATGGTATGAAATGTCTTGGCGGTCTTTTCACCATTTTCTCTCTCTTCGTAGGTTGACTTCTATTTATCTTCGGGTTGCCTTGTCCTTTCTTTTTTGGCTCTTTCAGGACTGTCATCTTATGCCAAATACTGGCGCTTCATATCGTGCGACGCTGGCAGTCTCTCCAGCTTGCGTTCGGGGTGGATGTCACTTCCGCCCCATTCTGTAAGCTTTCTCATGCTTTGTTTTACCTCCGGCCTGCTCATACGTCACCTGAGCCTACCTGGTCCTTGGATAAGGTGCTCACTTTTTTCTCTTCTCGGTTTGTGGTGGCCCCTTTGATTCGAGATTCCTTCCAGATGGCTCTTGTTTGTTGGCATTGGTACCTGGGAGTCAGGTTGGTTAGTTTCATGCTCCCCTCTGGCACATAGGTTTCTGATCTTTTGGTTGTGGTAAACGTTTTGTTCGTTTGCAGCCTGTTTCCTTTTCTGGCGATGAACGAGACGACGGGCTTCTGTAGGGGTCCTTTGGGTTATTGATGCTTGGTTGGTCTGGCCGGGGGTGCATCATGTGTTTAATCCAATTTCAGCTCTGTTCTGTAACCTGCACGCCTCAGTTTCTTTGGCCGTGGAGGTGCTTTGGGTTGATTCGATTTCCCTCATTTCCTGTTCCCGGGCTCGGGTCTCTCGGGTCGTCTGCAGAGTTGTTAAGTATAGCCAGCCTGTGGTCTACCCTCGTGTCCATGATGTTCATGATCTTGCTGCTTTGACTGTCATGTTAGGCAACATGTTCTTTGCTGACATTCGGGCGTGGGGGTTTTGGAGTTCGAATAGGGTCCTGGTCATGCTGCCTCCCGGACTATGTCCCTCTTTTACTTATTTTTGGTTATGTGGTTCCAGGAAGTCGAAGGGGCTCCCCAGAAAAAACCAGCGTTGAATGAATTGAAATCCCATTTTCTTGATGAGCCCTGGACGCTCCCTGGCACCCACCCTCCCCTCGGTTGGTGGTTTCGTTTTGATGCTCAGCCACCGAACTGAGGAGTTGGGCAGACAGCATGGAGGTCTCTCTTTTACGTGGGGGGGGGGGGGGGACAAAGGGCGCAGCAGCGGTGGTAAACGTTTGCTTATTTTCCTTGTTTCTATTGGGAGTTCTGCATCTTATCTTATAAAATGAGATAAATTGGAATAACAGGTAAAGTGGGGCATTTGATTATCAATTTTTTGTCAAACAGAATGCAAAGAGTAACAGTCAAACAAACAAGATCAAGCCCAAGTGTAGTGAAAAGCTCTGTACTCCAGGCACAGTCTTTGCACCACTGCTATTTCTCATTCTAAGCTTGGATATAGACAAAAATACTAGTCACGGCTTCATGTCATCCTTCGCTGATGATGATAAATCAGCATGAAAATTTCCTCTGTAGAAGACACTGAATAATTACAAGCCAACTTTAATAGTCTTTGATTGGTTAATTGAAAATAACATGAGGTTTAACCGAAAAATTCCAGGTACAGCACTTAGGTATGGTGGAAATGAGGAACATATATGAGACACAGGGTACAAGACACAGACTTAATCATACAAGGAAGGCAACAAGGAAAGCAACCTGTAAAAGATCTGAGAATTATGATGTCTGGCAACCTGACATTTAGTGAACATAACTGAGCAAATATAGTGGCAGCCAAGAAAATGATAGGATGGATTATGAGTGTTCAAAGCCAAGGCCCCCACAACAATGCTAATACTGTACTGTATAAATCACTGGTACTGTCCTGGCTAGAATATTTATCGGTTACTCAATTAACCTTTCAGAGCTGGAGACATGTCTAAAAAAGAGGGTACACAAAAAACATACACGGCACGCACTGACATGATAAACCACCTAAACTACTTTGACGGTCTCACAGCTCTCAAAATGTACTCTCTGGAATGGAGATGAGAGAGGTATGAAACAATATACCTATACAGTACATGGAAGATACTGGAAGGCCAAGTCTTAAATTTGCACATACTGGAGTGAAAGATATGGAAGGAAATATAGAATAGAACCAATGAAGAGTGGAGGTGCCATAGGCACAGTCAGAGTGCACTGTCTGAACATCAGAGGTCCACAGCTGTTCAATACTCTCCCAGCAAGCTTTTGAAATATTGCAGAGACAAAAGTGAACTACTTCAAGAACCAATTAGATAAGTTCCTGCAAGAAGTTCTGGACCAACTGAGCTATAGAGGATATATGGGGGCCAATGGGCTCCTGCAAGCAACAACCTGTTGGACCAAGTTACCATAAGTTGAGCCTGGCCTCAAGCCGGGCTCGGGGAGTTGAAGAACACCCGAGACCCCTCTCCAGGTACGCCTTCAAGATCTGATACCTTGCTACTTAAGTGGTCATTGCTTTCTCTCAAATTCTTGAATATTTCTACATGATAGTTCACAATAATGTCTTTGCCAACTTGTTGTGTAGGCTGCTCATATTAATACTTTCCTCATTAACCCCTGCACTGCGCACCTGTTTTCGGCAAAAACTTTATGGTGCAATTGTCAAGGACATATTTTTGTTGTTTTTATAAATGTTCAGGTAAAGGTAATGTCAAAATGTATCCAAACTCGACCATTTTCATTTCAAAACACAGAGTGATGAAGACATTAAAAAACATTTAAATATAACTTAATTAAAAAGAAAATAGCACAACTCTCGAAATGAGATATCTTGGCCGGCGCAGCACAGTGGTTAAATCCACCAAAATACAGCTATGTTGTGTTTTTCTTCTTGTCGGTCGCCATCTTGAATTTTGTTGTCTGCACTGTTTACACTATGGCAACTCTTTCTTATCCAATTATTTCACTCCCCCTCACACTTTTGTTTTGTCACCCATTTTTCAAATACACTACACATTTAAGTTTTTTGGGACAACATTCACGGTCATCAACCTGTTCTACATTACTTAGGCATTTGAAATACCCAGGTGAAATACCCAGGAGCTCCTCTGATGCATGTGAAGATAATGGTATGCATTAATAAGATTGTCAAGTAGTGAGTTTTAAGAGAGAACAGTTGTGCGAGTCGGTGGTCTGAGCTAGCAGGGGTGTGAGACAGTTGGTAATGTTGATTCCATTCTGTTCCTAATATACTTAAATTACCTAACAGAGGATACAATTTATTTACATTAATGTTTACTTACGTTAAATTAATTAAAATAATCAAAACAGAAGAGGACTGAAAGTTACATTCATATCCTTATAACCTTTTAAGTGAGAAGTCACCAAATACAGCTCAAAATGAAGTGGGGAGACCACGACTTTCTATATCAGAAAATAAGAGATTTGGGAGTAGACTTATCCCGGATTCAACACCAAAGGTATATACAGTACCAGCAGCATAAGACAAACTGGCAAATGCTCTGATATTCTTTTGAAATTTGGACAAGAGAGCCTTTCAAATGCTATATGCAAGCCATGAGGGACCCAGTGTTGTACAGTATATGCTGCCCCAGCAAGGCGCCCCACCTAAGGAAATACAGAATAAAAATCGGAAAGGTCCCAAGATACGAGTGTGAGTAGGTAAGATAGAGAGGTGGTGGTGGTGGTGGTGGGTTGTGTGTGAGTCAAGTACATTAAGTAAGCAGTTATTAGTGGCCTGCATAATTAAAATATTATTTTGATGTCTTGAATGGAAAGAATGAAGTGTGTTTAGAGCAAAAATGGAACATTAAGGTGTGTGGTGGTCAGAGGAACAGTGATAACACCACTAGTGATGCTGTCTTGTTCATTGTACAGTATGTGTATTTTGATGTACACGTTGCATCTTCAAAATTACTGTTATAATGAATATTTAAAAAGATTTTGGCCCTCAGGAAAGTAGACATCAAAACATTTTAACCACATGGTAGTACATTTCATTAGGCAGTACAGAGGCTTATGTTTACTTTGTTTTCAACAGTGATGGAATGTCTGTTGGTCGCCCCATCAACCATAAATATCTTAAGAGACAATACTACAAGATGCGAGAGAATGCGCGTCAAAACAGAGAGCTCTGTTTCAGTGCTGCTGGAGTGAGTGGCATTTTGGGCAGTCAGGGAGGTGCTGATATCATACATGGTGGTATGCCATTCATGCCTCGCACTCACTGCCCCAGAAATGAAGCCACAGCCAGCATGAAGCCTGGGGAGTTTGCTGCAATACTAATAGAGCGGCTGGAAAAAGTAAAGAGAGAGAGAGAATCGCAGGAGAAGGTTCAACAATCATTTAAAAAGATCCAAGAGGTGAGTGGTTTTTCTTACTATTATCTTTAATTTTCCAAATACTGATGTTTTACCTAGATGATGTACTGATAAATATACATCAGTAGTATGTATGTATGTAATAGACATTTCAATATGTTTTGATAATTACCTTGCAGGGGGACAACGTGTCTGACGAGTGCCGGAGAGAACATGCCTTCAACAGTCTTCCTCCGTCACTTCTCTTGGATAAGCTGACCCAGAAGATCCCTCTTGATGATGCAGATCCCTGTCAGTCCATACTAGGTACAGTCTCTGAAAGGATTTGCAAAATTTGGGAAATAAAGTTTGACATATTTTATGCTCATGTTGACTAGAGGTTTTAAATTTTTATTTACAGTATGTTAATTATTTTATATTTATATTTTCTTTGGGGGGGAGGGGAGCCCCTTTGGCTCCCCGAAGCTTACTAGGCTGATATGCTAATGTCAGACTTTGGCATCAGTCATGTGTATAGAGTTCTGTGGGCCTACCGGGGAGCCAGAACCTGGCCCTCCTCAGAGAGGCATGGGGAGCAATGGCCTATAGACACCCCGTATGGTTGGAAGCATTCAATGTCTGCCATCGACCAGGTCAGGCACCCAGAAAGGTAAGCATCCCAAAACAAACCCCTATTCTGGTGAAAATATTGCTACCAAAAGCCGAACAAGTAGATAGAACTTCCCTAAAAGAAACTAGTAAACAAGCGTGACGTCACACGTTGCCGCGGCTGCGCAGCTCCCCCCTCCCCGGGAGGGGGAAAGGGAAGCCTCAGACCCCCCCCACGCTGGCTATCGACCAGTCAGTTCTCAGGTTGATGCTAGAGGTGGAGGTCGTGTGCTTGACTTCAGCGTTTCCAGCACTGTGCTTTGAGTGTGGTAGCTGTCTTCCAAAGGTGGGAGACCCAGGAGTTATTCTACAGTACTCGGACTGCATGCACCTAGGGTTCTCGTCTCTAGGTGCCCTGTAAGTACTGCCCTTGGAGCTTGGGGTTATCTTCCACAAGTTCCTTGGGGTCTGCCACTGCTAGGCCATATTAGTGCTCGGTTTTTGGCTGCCCTTTGGGTGCTTAGGGATTTTGTCTTCCTGGTTTACCTTAGGGCAAGAAGCAGTTTGCACTGATGGGGCGCAGGGTATTGTGCAGCTTGTCTTCACCACTTACAGCAGCCAGCTCTGATCCGTGGGGTACGTTGCCCTCTTGTGAGGTTTTGTTTTTCTTTTTCTTTTTGCCTTGTAGGGGAGTCTGCCTTGCTTTCCCCTTTTTTGTGCCTGGCCTGTGCACAGTTCTCTTCTGGTGGTGCCCCCTGCTAGGTCCCAGTGAGTGTACACGTCTCTGGGGTTCAGCTTTATACAGTTGTTTGGTAGTTTTGGGCGCCAGTTAGCAGTACCCTGCCTGGGATTACCTGGGTGTGAGTTTCCATTCAGCACTCAGGACCCTGGGAATTCCCGAGGGGGGGCGCGTGGGTTCGATGAATGTGTCCCTGGAGTCTTCCCCTCCCTTCATGCGAGTTCGAGGGTTGCTCAGTCCCCTTGACTCAGGGTGACCCTCAGGGTTTTTGCCTCCGTCACGCTGCCTGTTGGGTCGGTGACACCTTCGACCCGGAGTCATGAGAGTTCTATTGCTTGCTTGTGATTCAGTTTACCCAATCTCAAGATGATGTTCTACGGGTACAGGCGGTGCAGGCGTTGCATGCTCGGTTTAGGTTGTTGCAAAGCACTAGATTGGTTGCGCACCCTGATGCCCCGAGGCTGCCCCGTTTTGCTTATAGGGACCCGGACTTGGGGGTGGGGGTCGCTTCGACCTTGGTTCAGTCAAAAAAAAAATAAAAAATGCAGTATGAGGACATGTTTAGCACTCGAATAAACAACATGAAAGTGAAAGATCCAGATAATTTCTTTATACAAGATATCCAAACCCCTGTAAATATAACTGATATCAACACGAGCGTACTAGACTTTGAAGGGGAAATTGAAAACATGCCCATGGGAAATTGAAAACATGGGAGCCGGTGGCTGAGCGATGGGAGCCGGTGGCTGAGCGGACAGAACATTGGAAGGGTGATCCTGTGGTCCCGGGTTCGATCGCGGGCGCCAGCGAGGAACAATGGGCAGAGTTTCTTTCATCCCTGATGCCCCTGTTACCTAGCAGTAAATAGGTACCTGGGAGTTGGTCAGCTATCATGGGCTGCTTCCTGGGGGTGGAGGCCTGGTCGAGGACCGGACCGCAGAAACACTTGATACCTAGTTGATACCTGGTTGATGGGGTTCTGGGAGTTCTTCTACTCCCCAAACCTGGCCCGAGGCCAGGCTCGACTTGTGAGAGTCTGGTCCACCAGGCTGTTGCTTGGAGCGGCCTGCAGGGCCATGTATCCACCACAGCCCGGCTGATCCGGAACTTCTCTTAGAAAACCGTCCAGTTTTCTCTTGATGTCCACATGTCCCTCCACCACATCACTGCCTAATGCATTCCATCTGTCAGTTACTGACACTGAAAAAGTTCTTTCTAACGTCCCTGTGGCTCATTTCAGTACTAAATTTCTACCTGTCCACTTGTTCATGGCCCACCTGTGCTAAACAGTTTTATCTTTATCTACCTTGTCAGTTCCTCTGAGAATTTTATAGGTAGTAATCATGTCTTCTCTAACTCTTTCTGTCTTCCAGTGTCATGAGGTTTAGTTCCAGCAATCTTTCCTCTTACCTCTCAGCTCTTGGACTAGTGTGGTGGCATACCTCTGAACCATCTTTAACTTTTTGTGTTTAACTAGATGTGAACTCCAGGCTGGAGCTGCATATTCCAGTATTGGTCTGACATATGAGGTATACAAGGATCTGAACGATACCTTGCACAAGTTTCTGAAGGCAGTTCTAATGTTCACCAGCCTTGTATATGCCGCTGATGTTATCCTTTTGATGTGGGCTTCAGGGGACAGGTTTGGTGTGATATCAATTCCCAGATCTTTCTCTCGTCCTGACTCCTGAAGGATTTCCTCTCTCAGCTGGTACCTTGTGTTTGGCGTCCTGCTTTCCTTGCCTATCTTCATCACATTTCACTTGCTCAAGTTAAACTCTAGTAGCTATTTGTTGGACCATTTCTTCAGTCTTTCCAGGTCATCCTGTAGCCTTTTGCTGTCCTTCTCTGTCTTAATCCTTCTCATAATTTTAGCATCATGAGCAAACATTGAGGGGAATGAGTATACCTTCTGGAAGATCATTCATGTATCAGAAACAAGATAGGACTGAGTACAGAAACCTGTGGGACTCCGCTGGTGACATCACGCCAGCCTGAGGTCTCATCCCTCACAGTAACTCTCTGCTGTCCCTTATCCATTGGAGCACCCTACCACTTACTCCAGCTTGTTTCTCCAACTTATGCAACAGTCTCCTTTTGGGTACTGTCCTAAGAGACTTTTCTCATAATTTCATTCTCTATTTTGTTTGAAATAGGTACTTGAACAGAATGTTTGTTTCTACTTATTACCTGTAGATACTCAAAATTTTGTCTGTGCCGCCACAGACACTTGCAGAGCCTGAGCCTAATATTGTCTGTGGCACTCATTATCTAACATGACTCTTAGATTTGGTCAACTACAGTTAACAATGGAAACATAATGTTAATGGTCAAAATACAGATAACAAATTAATTGGATATTTTGATAATGCTACATTGTTTCAAAATCTGGATTGGATTGCTCAAGTGTGGGAACAGTGTTAATGTTATAAGGAGAGATGTTGAGAAAGACCCAAAATATAAGAAATTGTTTTATGAACTGAAGTTGGATGCTTTTTTAGCAGTATGCTGAAATAAATTCTTGTTTATTCTTTTTCAATTAAATGATTTTTAAATTTTCTTGGTGTGTGTGTGTAGATGAGCACGTGTCACGAGTTTGGCAAGACAGCAATAATGACACTCCAGCTCGTTCTCCGGGTTCTCCACGTCCCAGATCACCCTCTGGTAGAAGAGGAAGCTCAATGCAGTCTACTAGACATCTTGCTGCCTCAAAGGTAAAATTCCTAAGGTTTTTAATTGCATTATACAATGACAGTATCAGCCACTACATTACACGAGATGAGATTGGGCTGGCAACCTCTCTAATCACCAAATCTCAAATGTTTACTTAGTCTAGGAAAGTGGAAAAACAAGATTGTAATGATGAGAATGTTGTAAAAATTTAATGGTTATTTTTGTGAGCTAAATTTGAATGGGTTAAACTAGTAGTGCATGCGTGACAAGATGCGAATTATTACAGTGAAAGTTTTCCTTATCTGCCATTGACAGGGGTCAGGCACCCAGAAAGGTAGGCATGACAAAACAAACCCCACATGGTAAAAAACTAAAACAAAAAACCGAACAGAGAGGTAGAAACTCCCTACAATCCCAAAGAAACAAGCAAACAAGCAAACATCACACTTTACTGCCGCGCCAATCGTCCGCACAGCCCTCCCCGCCCTGAGAGGGAAAGGGGGGAGCCCCGGACCTACCGCGCCGGCTGCCAAGCTTCAGTTCGTAAGCTAATAATGTAAGCTCCAACAGCCTGGCGGACGGCCTGTCTCGGTTCGTTATGGACTGGACGGTTGATGTCGACCCATTCAGTTGGCTCTGGCAGATATTCTGGTGCCCGGAGGTGGACCTCTTCGCGTCGGAGTGGTCGAGACGTCTTCCGGCATGTGTGGAGCCCTTCCCGGCCACGAGGCTGTCGGGATCGACACCTTTTCCCAGGACTGGTCGAGGTTCCTGTACCTCTTTCCTCCTTTTCAGCTGTTGCTCCAGGTCCTTGCTCACTTGGAGACTTACCAGGGGAGAGTTGTCCTCTAGGCCCCGTGGTGGTCGGCCCAGCCGTGGTTTCAAGTGCTGCTTGCCCGGTGTCTGAACCCGGAGGTTTTCTGCGGCTCCACCTCTTTCAGAAGATCGGCCCGGTCCTTTACGAGACTGGTTCGCTCTTCTCCTCGAGTCTTCGCGCTTGGCATTTTTGACTCGAGTTTATTACCAGTTGTATGGTGATCAGGTGACTTCGCTGATGGTGTCCCACCTGCGGGCTTCGTCTCGGCGGCAGTATGAAGTTTCCTGGCGGGCCTTCCGTTTCTTTTTTACTCTCCGTCGTTGTACTTCCCTTTCGGTTCGGGTGGTGTTGTCCTTTCTCTTGTGGTTGTTCCAGGACCGTCATCTTATGCCGAATACTGTTACCTCCTATCGTGCGGCGCTGGTGGAGCCACTTCAGCTTGCTTTCGGTATAGATATTACTTCTGTGCCGTTTTGCAAGCTGTCTTGTGCGTTGTTTCACCTTCGGCCTGCTCATGCCCCGCCTGAGCCATCCTGGTCTTCGGGCTGAGTGCTCTCCTATCTCTCTTCTCCTCGGTTTGTTGTGGCCTCTTCGGTTCAGGATTGTTTTTCGAAGGCTCTTTTTCCTGTTGGCATTGGCCTCTGGGGGTAGGGTTGGGGAGCTTCTTGCTCTCCTCCAGCTCAGGGGGTCTGCTCTTTCAGTTGTGGAGATAGGTTAGTTCGTCTGCAGCTGGCTAAGAATGAGACTTCTGCTTTCCGGAGGGGTCCTTGGGTTGTTGATGCTTGGTTGGTCAGGCCAGGCGTACATCATGTTTTGTGTCCGGTTGTGGCCCTCCGTTATTTGCGAGCCACGGCTTCTGTGTCCGTGTACGCGCTTTGGGTTGATCAAGTTTCCCTTCTTCCCTGTTCGCGGGTACGTGTCTCAGGTCGTCTGCAGGGTTATTAAATGTAGCCAGCTTGCGGTCTATCCCCGTGCCTATGACGTTCGTTAGTTCACTGCTCTTGCTGCCGTTTTTGGGAACATGTCCTGGGCTGACTTTTGGGCACGGAGTTTTTTGGAGGTCGAACAGGGTCCTGGCTGCACACTACCTCGTGAACGTTCCTGGGCCTAGTTGGGCCTGTGTCGCTTTGGGTCGTCGTCTGCAGCCTCTCTCGACTTGTTGAGATGTTGAGATGTGGATCACTGACCACCTCCTGGGTAAGTCCCCTTTTTTTCTTAGTCTTTGGTGAAGTAGCTCTGGGGAGCCGTAGGAGCTGCCTTTCCCCCCAGAAAACTAGCGTTGAATGTAATGTAACGCAATTTTCTGGGCGAGTCCAGGAGGCTATCCGGCGACCCTCCTTCCCTCCCTCTGGTCAGTGGTTTTGGCACTTTTTGATATCCAGCCTCGGAACTGGATGTGTTGATCGCCGGTGCGAAGGTTTGGGGCTTCCCCTTTCCCCTCCTGCTGCGCAGACATGTGGCACGGCTTGAGGTGTCATTCTTGTTTGCTTGTTTTCCCTTGGGGGAGTTCTGTCCATTTGTTTCTTTATTTTCGATGATTTTTCCAGAATAGGAATTTTTTTGGGGTGCTTACTTTTCTGGGTGCCTGCCCCGGTCGATAGCAGATATAGAATGCTCCAAAATCACATGTGCATTTCAGTAGGTCATTCCTTCTCGTTCCTCTCTGAGGGGGGTCCAGGTTCTGGCAGTGGTCCCCGATTGGCCTAGAACTCCACCCACATCAACTGATGCCAAAAGTTAGGACTATCCCTATCAGCCTGGATAGCTCCAGGAAGCCTCCGGGAATTTTAACAAATATTTTAATTTCGGACACAACATGCGACCCCCGCCAGACATCTGTAAGAGTATTAATAGATGCAAACTGCATTGCCGCCGGATGAAAGTGTTGATGAAAGAAAGAAAGAACCCTAATAAAGAACGAGATCTAGGGGTAGTTTTGGATAGTAGACTGTCACCAGAGGAACACATGAAGAACATTGTGCAAGAACCGTATGTACCGCTTTCCAACTTCAGGCTCGCTTTTAATTACATGGATGGTGAAATACTAAAGAAACTGTTCATGACTTTTGTGAGAACAAAATTGGAATATGCAGCAGTTGTATGGTGCCCATATCTCAAGAAGCACATCAATAAACTGGAAAAGGTGCAAAGGCATGCAACAAAATGGCTTCTGGAACTGAAAACAAGAATTACGAGAAGAGACTAGAGGTGTTACATGCCAAAACTAGAAGATAGCAGAAAAAGAGGTGATATGATCACCATATACAAAATAATAACATGAATCGACCAAATTGACAAAGTGGAATTCCTGAAAGCGGCAACTTCAAGAACAAGAAGACAGTTTCAAACTAATGAAACAAAGGTGCCAAAAAAATATTAGTAGGTTTTCTTTTTCAAACAGAATGGAAGATGATTGGAAAAAGTTAAGTGTGAAGGTGGTGGAGGCCAAAACTGTCAGTAGTTTCAAAGCATTATACGATAGAATGCTGGGAAGACGAGACACCACAAGCGTAGCTCTCATCCTGTAACTACTGTACATTTAGGTACTGTAATTACACACACACGTTACATACATATGACTAAGTTTGTATTAATAAATAAGTATGGAGAAAGAAAACAAGATAAGTTCTGAAGGCAGAACAATAGTAAAATTGGTGAAAAAATATGAAAGTATTGGTAATTTTCTGGTAAAATCAAACATGTCTACAAAATCAGCTTGATGAAATGGCAACATACTCTGGTTCTCAATGAGTTTGTCTGTTAGCCAAATCCTTGTAGAGTTAAATCTTAGTTCTATGAAGGATTCTAGATTCTGTATAAGGGAGCTTCATAAAGTGCCACAAAGATTTGAGATAAATGCAAAATCGCTGAATGAATTTTGAAGATAAAGCTTCTGTAGCAGTATTAAGGGACATTTATTTTTTAATACAAATTTTGAATGCCAATTGTTAGTTTTGAGAATCCTGTAAAAAACTGGATAGCCTGGAAGTAATATTTAGAACTTTCAGTTACGTATGTACAAGAGTGGTTCTTATTCTGCAGCTAAATTTAAGGAAAAATTAGATGTAAGGCTTGTGTTTGTTGCATTTGAGGCTAGTTTACTAAAGTTGGCAAATTGTGAGAGACTTTTGAGTGGCTTTAGTGTCCAGTATTTTACACATTGCAGGCCAGTGTTACAGTCGGGGGCACTCATCCGTCCATGTATGTTTCCGGTAACTACCTGCCGTCGGCGCAGGTGGTGCACCCGGTTCATCTGCCTTCTGGCCACCCGGCCCTCCTTCCTCCTGGCAACCCTGACCATCTGCTACCTGGCCACCCGGCTCACCTTCCCCCTGGCCCAGTCCACCTCCAGCCTGGTCACATGATTCATCCATACACCAACAAAAACTTGCACCATGCACGTCGCAGAGATCGCGTAAGGATGCTTTCTTCTTCTCTGTAAACTTTCCTCTATCCATAAATAATGAAGACTGTAGACATAATTCTGTGTTTGAAGAAGATACCAGTCCAGAATAAACTTCTATTCCAGGTAACATTACGCTTGTTGAAAAGCATTCTTATTTGGAGAAAAACACTAATTTGTCAGGTTATTTTATGATCAAATTATTATGTACGTTCAATTTACATAAAATAATATTGGGTACATGCAATTCTGTTCTCTAACGTGGTAACTATTTTGAGTTCTCATTTCCTGAATCACTTGTCAACAAACAATACGCTTACTTTATTTCATTCTTCTGGGACTAGGATGTGTACTCCACGTTCTCATCAGACTCGGGCAATGTAGCTGACTATTACGAGAGCAGCGAAAGAGCCGGGCTTCATCCTTTGCCTAAGTCTCGCTCTATGCCAGATTATATGGAGAACTATACTGGTAAGTCATGTGGTGAGCAAGCTGTTAAAGTTGAATTCACTTGTGTGCAGTGGCTAATATTGAATACAGTATATAAAATATTTTGATTTTGAAAATATGTTGATCCAGAATAAGTTGTATCATTGACATGTTCCCTTAATTTTTCTTTTATATAGTCCATCTAGCATTAGTATTCCCCCTGTTTATTGAGTTTTTCCATTAAACTCTTAATATCTATCTGGTTATCTGTCTATTTCAGTCTTTCTGTGCATCAGATTTCTTTGTATTTGCATGCACAGTAAGTATTGTATCCAGTTTTCCTTTTATTCCATCTGTCGTGTAAATTTTTTGTTGGCTTGACAATCCATGGACAATCCATGGACAGTCTTGTGTTCAATTTAAGTTCTCATTCTGTAGTCTGCTATTGCAAATCAAGGCATCGTTTTTCATATTTTCTGGAACAGGTACCAGTAGTGATGGTGGTAGTTTTGGGCGGCGACAACCAAGCGGGAGGCGGAGTAACTCACGGCGTGCCCCGGCAGACCTGACAGACTCGGGGGTGTCTGTGGTGTCGGACTCTGGACCCTCGCTCACCCCATTTGCATCATCGACTGAAAGGTGAGAAACCACTTGGCAACTACAATAATGGCACTTTCTTTGGGAAGTCCTGTCGGCTCCCTGAAGCTATCTGAGCTGATATGCGCTATATTAGTTTGTGGTCATCAGTCACTGGAGTTCTTATGCCTAATGGGAACCACGAGCCAGAACCTGCCACCCCCTCAGAGAGAGCACTTTACACTTAAAATATTTTTCTGGGGGGAGCCCCTACAGCTCCCCAGAGCTATCCAGGTTGATAAAGATACTGTACCAACATAGATGGAGTGAGGTCAAAAACTTTGGAGTTGCAAGATATAATCCAGCTTAGGGTCCCAGATATTGTCGCATTATCAGAGACGAAACGTGAAGGAAATATAATAAATGAAGTCATATTCCCAAGAGGCTATTCAGTTTGGAGACGTGACAGGAAAACTAGGGAGGGAGGAGGAGTGGCTGTACTGGTGAAAAAACACCTGAAGGTAAGAGAGTTAATATTTGAAAATCCTCGATATTAATATAATGGCATTGCAGATCTGGAATCAGGATGATAAGCTGATAGTTTTAAATGCCTACAGCCCACCAGCAAGCAACACATGGACAAAGGAAGAACTGGATGACAAATGAGAGGGCCTCATAATGGTCATGAGAGATATTATTGCACAAGCAGCTAAAGATAAATCACGACTGTTGATACTGGGGAACTTCAACTTTAAAGCAATAGACTGGGAGGCCTATGAAGCAAGAATGGAGGACTTTTGGACATGCGGATTTGTGAACCTCATTCTGGAGACATTCTTGTATCAACACATAAAGCAGGCCACAAGAATGAGGGAAGGGGATGTTCCGTCAGTACTGGATCTAGTATTCACCAGGAAAGAAGAAGAGATATTTGACATCCAGTACCTTCCTCCCTTGGGAAAGAGTGATCACGTCCTGTTAGACATTGATTATGCTTTAAAATATCATCTAGAAGAAAATGGGGACATTGAAACAGTTGATAAACTCGATTTAAGGAGAGGTCACTATGGGGAGCTTCAAAATTTTTTTAATGAGTGTAATTGGACAGACTTGTTGCTAGGCGGGGAAGTAAATGAAATGTATGCCAAATTTTTTAAAATATACGAGGAAGGCACACAAACATTCATACCAAAACAGAGATGCAGGGCCAGAAAACAGGATTGGTTCAACAGAAATTGTGAGAAGGCCAGAGACCAAAAGACACAAAAATGGAATCGTTATAGGAAGAGGCCAAACCTCCAAACATACCAGCGATACAAAGATGCGAGAAACAACTATACGGCAGTAAGGAGAGAGGCAGAAAGAAATTTTGAAAAAGGGATAGTGGATAAATGTAAAACAGAACTGAGCCTATTCTACAAATTCATAAACAACAAATTGCAGGTAAAAGATAATATCCAGAGGTTGAAAATGGGAAACAGATTCACGGAAAATGAAAAGGAAATGTGTGAAACATTAAATGAAAAGTTCCAAAGTATGTTTGTACAAAATGAAATCTTCAGAGAACCAGACACTATAAGAATTCCAGAGAACAACATAGAGCGGATAGAGGTGTCTAGAGATGAAGTGGAAAATATGCTAAAGGAGCAAGGTAAGAACAAAGCAGCTGGCCCAGATGGAGTTTCACCATGGGTTCTGAGAGAATGTGCATCTGAGCTCAGCATTCCACTTCACCTGATCTTTCAGGCATCCCTGTGTACAGGAATCGTAGCAGACGTGTGGAAACAGGCTAACATAGTTCCAATCTACAAAAGTGGCAGCAGGGCAGACCCCCTCAATTATAGACCTGTATCATTGACAAGTGTAATAGTGAAAGTATTGGAAAAACTAATCAAAACTAAATGGGTAGAACACCTGGAGAGAAATAATATAATATCAGGCAGACAGTATGGTTTTCGATCTGGAAGATCCTGTGTATCGAATTTACTGTTTCTATGATCGAGCCACAGAGATATTACAGGAAAGAGATGGTTGGGTTGACTACATCTATCTGGACCTAGAAAAAGGCTTTCGACAGAGTTCCACATAAGAGGTTGTTCTGGAAACTGGAAAATATTGGAGGGGTGAAAGGTAAGCTTCTAACATGGATGAAAAATTTTCTGACTGATAGAAAAATGAGGGCAGTGATCAGAGGCAATGTATCAGACTGAAGAAATGTCACAAGTGGAGTACCACAGGGTTCAGTTCTTGCCCCAGTGATGTTTATTGTCTACATAAATGATCTACCAGTTGGTATACAGAATTATATGAACATGTTTGCTGATGATGCTAAGATAATAGGAAGGATAAGAAACTTAGATGATTGTCATGCCCTTCAAGAAGACCTGGACAAAATAAGTACATGGAGCGCCACTTGGCAAATGGAATTTAATGTTAATAAATGCCATGTTATGGAATGTGGAATAGGAGAACATAGACCCCACACAACCTATATATTATGTGAGAAATCTTTAAAGAATTCTGATAAAGCAAGAGATCTAGGGGTGGTTCTAGATAGAAAACTATCACCCGAGGACCACATAAAGAATATTGTGCGAGGAGCCTATGCCACGCTTTCTAACTTCAGAATTGCTTTTAAATACATGGATGGCGATATACTAAAGAAATTGTTCACGACTTTTGTTAGGCCAAAGCTAGAATATGCAGCGGTTGTGTGGTGCCCATATCTTAAGAAGCACATCAACAAACTGGAAAAGGTGCAAAGACATGCTACTAAGTGGCTCCCAGAACTGAAGGACAAGAGCTACGAGGAGAGATTAGAGGCATTAAATATGCCAAAACTAGAAGACAGAACAAAAAGAGGTGATATAATCACTACATACAAAATAGTAACAGGAATTGATAAAATCGATAGGGAAGATTTCCCGAGACCTGGAACTTTAGGAACAAGAGGTCATAGATTTAAACTAGCTAAACACAGATGCCGAAGAAATATAAGAAAATTCACTTTCGCAAACAGAGTGGTAGACGGTTGGAACAAGTTAGGTGAGAAGGTCGTGGAGGCCAAGACCGTCAGTAGTTTCAAAGCGTTATATGACAAAGAGTGCTGGGAAGACGGGACACCACGAGCGTAGCTCTCATCCTGTAACTACACTTAGGTAATTACACTTAGGTAATTACTTAACTCCAGTATCTTCGATCTCACTCCCTCTATGTTGGTGTATGTAATCTTCAGGAACTTGTTCCCCCTCTTCTTATTCTTCACTCCCCTTCTCTCTAATGATTTTGTTGGTTTGCCTTTATGTACCACTTTACTGGTCTGCCTACCCCTATCACTTTGTAAAAAAAAGATTTGATTTCTTCTTCATTCCTGCTCTCATTTAAGCGTTTTGCCTCGGCGAGGTTCAGTTTCAGCTTCTCTCTGTCTTCTTTTGAAAGATCTCGTCTTACCGACCACACTTTCCCATCCTCATCACTTTGTAATTTTCTAGCATTTCTTAGTACTTCTTCCATCTGTTTGGCACTGTTTAGGGTGATCCTCAAAGGTCGATCTTTTCCTTTTACCAATCTGCCTATTCTCCTGTAGTCGCACACATTCTGTATGGTAGTAAGACCTTCCACGAGGCCAACAATTTTATCTACTACTTTCGCTTCTTCTACAGCTCTTTCTGACCTAGATGTTATCTCCTTTTGTTTGCAACCAAAAATTATCAGGGACTTACTCCGATCAACTGTGTTTTGCACCAGCTTCAGAATAGACGCCAATTCCTTTTTCACTTCCAGCCTAATGTTTGTTTTATCTTGGTTGCTGCAGTGTTTAGCTTCCTTTACTGCTTCTTCAATTTTTTCCTTCTCCTTGGCCACTTGTGCATAGGTGAGTTGCATATCCTTCTTGCACTGCTCTGTTCCCTGTGTAACTTCCTCCATCTGTGCTGACAAAAGCTGTTTCTCCTGTTGAATTTCCTTACCTAACCTATTGTAGTCATTTATGTTTAAATTTACTTTATCTTCTTCCAAAGCTATTTTTAAGAGTTTTTCTTCTTCTTTCATGGCTTTGCAATTTGTTTCCAATTGATTCTTTTCCTTGCACAAGTCTTTCACTAAACCCTCAAGACATAAAACTTTGCTATTCAAATGGTCATTACATTCTTTCAATTTACTAATTATTTCTACATGAGAGTTCACTATAGTATCTAATTTTACCAACTTGTTGTGTAGACTGCTATTATCAATGCTTTCTTCATTGAATCCAACAAAATCAAGCTCTGTTTTGTTTTTCCTCCTTCTGGCGGCCATCTTGAATGTTCTTCTCTGCACTGGAAGCACTAGGGCAACTTTTTCTCATCCAATTTTTCACTTCCCTTGGCACATTCCTGTTATCTCACCTATTTTTCAAAAGCACTATACCTTTATGTTCTCTGGGCCACCACTCACTATCATCAACCTGTACTACAATACTTAGGATTGTTGAAATATGCTGGAGCTCCTCTGATGCAAGTGTTGATCCCAGGGGTGTCACCTTTTTTATTACACCTTTTAATGTACAGGTTCCTGAGCCTACTGGGCTCTATCATATTTACACTTGAAGCTGTGTATGGAGTCAGCCTCCACCACATCACTTCCTAATGCATTCCATTTGTCTACTACTCTTGACACTGAAAAAATTCTTTCTAACATCTCTATGGCTCATTTGGGCACTCAATTTCCACCTGTGTCCCCTAGTGTATGTGCCCTTTGTGGTAAATAGTCTGTCTTTATCTACCTTTCAATTTCTCTGAGAATCTTGTACTCACCTAATTGTACTAACCAAATTGTGCTTGCGGGGGTTGAGCTTTGGCTCTTTGGTCCCGCCTCTCAACTGTCATTCAACTAGTGTACAGATTCCTGAGCCTACTGGGCTCTATCATATCTACATTTGAAACTGTGTATAGAGTCAGCCTCCACCACATCACTGCCTAGTGCATTCTATTTATTAACTACTCTGAAAACATTGACAAAGACAACTGAAAGACACTGAAAAAATGATTTCTAATGTCTCTGTGACTCATCTGGGTACTAAGTTT